TAGTCGCTACTCAAAACTTAATGGTTTGCCTTTATATATATTGTCTTAGTTGTTCTATAAGGGACTGTCTTAGCTATTTAATGAAAGACACAAACCTAACTAGTTTACACTTGTTCAATGAGGAAGCTAGCTTAGAGGCATAACACTCCATAGTGTGTCATTTAGCAAAAACCATGAACCATAAATGAGTGTGGTAACCTTAACCAAGAAGCTCCTCACAAATAGAAGATTTAGGTAGTCTAATCACATAGACAAACCCCATTAAGTAAATAGCCCACAATTTCATGTTAGAGGTATCAGGAAGGTATAAAGATGAAATTGATCATACATATCACATCATGGATGCATGGTTGTTATTATTGTGGCATTGCATATCATTATTAGTTAGATGGTTGTTATTGTTGTAATATGTTATGAATTATTGTTCCTAGTCACATGGTTATTAATATCGTAGCTGTGGATGATTGATTTATATTGTGATTACATGATATTAAGATTTAAGCCACTTGCATTGCTATGGTTAATTAACATACATTTATATACACTAGATTAACTTTCATTATTGAATAGTAGTACTCACTGCTCTCTCTTTAATATTTACAGAAGCTAGCTCAAGTCAAGATTGAGGGAAAGTATTGGAGGCTTAGGAATATCATTCCTAATTGTAGGCCTCCTTTGTTTTGAATTATTAATGTGTGGTTAAATTGATGTTGTCAACTAAGAGTACATATTCTTTTTATTTACTTGCAATAATTGTTGTTAATGTTAAAATTTGTATTTTGAGCTCTAAGTTGTATATGCTTTATATATGCACAGTTAGAAAGAGTCAAAATACTAGTGTAAGTAAAGAAATATGTAAATGCCTAATTCTCATGAATTATAGGATGATTGATGTGAAATTGACTCTCCTTTTTGTTTTTGAGATTAACGAGTTGAGTATTGAAAATGTGATATGTGTGTATAATGAATGATGTGGTGTATTACACAATTATCCTTTAGTCTATTAAGTGTGGTTTAAGGGTGAATGTGAGCTCATAACACTTAGTGGTGGAATTGGACACCATAATTGTAGTTTAATTGTGAAAATTGTAACACGCTAAATTTTTTTTTCTTTTTTCAAAAACAATTTAACTCAACCATGGTAGAAAAGTGTCTACCATGGTAAAAAAATGATAAAACATAGCCTTATAAAATATTTTACATTTTAAATTAACTACCATGGTAAAAAAAGATTAAATTCCTTTTTAAAGAATACAAAACAATTTTTATACAACTAATACACATTTACAATCATAGTTGGGTTACAGCCACCCAACACATTTTATATCAATGAATTCAATATAAAAATATTTTATAATTAGCTTAAGTTTGCACAATATAATATTTCAGATAAATTTTTACTTCCCACATGTCATTAGGCTAAAATCATATTTTTTATCCTTATACTCCCAACAAATACAAACCATAAACCAATAACTAAAATAAACAATCTAATCAATTCCTAAAATAAGCCAATTATTTGGCCTCATAATCATGCCATTTCAAACCATCCAAAATAAATCAGATATTAAAATTATAGTCATCCAAAGTATACCAAAAGTAGAAATAGTTTGAAGAACATGATTACATCATTATATTCATATAATTGTCAATAAACAAAAAGCCCTAGTATTGGCAATATAACATATTAAAAATCATAAATCAAATACTCAAAATAGACAGTGAATCTATGCCATTAAGCCTTAGGGACTCCTCCACGCGCTACTCGTGGCTCTTCTCCTAAAAATTGTTAACTACATAATGAGACTCAAAAGTCCTAGTAACCAATGCCAATTTATGATAGTGTATACAAACAGTTAAATGTGTGCTTGTTAAATGGGGAAACAACAGTCATATAATTCCAACAAAAATACAAAAAATATTATAATGTATAACAAATAACCATCCTTATCTCCTTCCATTAACCTCGAGCTGTAGCCCTCATTCGATGTTAAATTACTCGGCTAAAGATAGATTAACCCGAGCCCTTACAAGCCACCTACTAGACTCCAATAGGTGTGTATCACGTGGCACATAAATACAATAACAACAAGTCTCCCAACACCTCCCACAATAATCAAATAAATTCATAACAATATTATACAATTATATAATATTATAATATGACATCCCACTTGGTAAAAATACTTTAAAATGCATATCCACAATTTCTCAATTTTTTCATAAACATAACAAGATAATTTCTCAATAACACTTCATAATTTTCTCAATAATCACTCAATTAATATGAAGCAACACTAATCACAAATTAAAAGCATGATTATCTCATGGCTTTTTTAATAAATTATTTCTTACAATTTCTTTCTCACCATAATCTTCACCAACAATACAATCTATAAATAACATATTATTTATAAATATTAGTTTCAATTATTAAAACTAATAAAATAACTCCAATAATAAAATTAGAGAATATAATATAATTTTTAATCTCAATCTTAATACAAATCTAGAGTTAGTACTATTAAGTAAAATTTTTAACTCCTCTTTTAGTCATCAATAAATATTAATAAGCTAAAATCAACCTCTAAACCAATTTCTATTATCAAATTTTTTTTTATTTCATAAATTCGCACCTAAAATACTTAAAAATTGAAAATTGAGTCTTAAGCTTAGAATTATCATCCTATAGCCATAATAATCTATTTTTCATCTCAAATAATCATCTAAACCTCAATAAATCAACATATATTTTTAAATTTAATAAAAATCTAGCATAGGGTGTGATCCATAAGCCTCAAATTCAAAACTCACCAATAAATTTATACTTTAAAATATTTATTATACTACTAACAGCCTCAACAATCACATTTATTCAACATAAATTTATTCATCTTTCAAACTTTAGATTTTTCACCATCACAAAATCAGAAATGAAATGAACTAGATGAATAAAAAAATTTTAGAACACTTATTTAATTTTAAAAAATTTAAAATCTCACCCTAAATATTTTATTAAAAAGTCTTACCTTTAAAACCCAGCTCCCCACGCCGGCGAACGTGTTCTGATGCTGTTTGCTATTTGCGTTGCACGAAGGAAAAAGAGGAAGTGTTTGGAAAATGAGAAAGAAAGAGGAAGGGCTGGTTTAAATAATATAAAATGTGGGTCTCACCTTTTTTTTTTTTGTTGCTTTCCTTTCCTTCCTGTATATATGTGTGTGTGTAGATCACAGCACGCGAAAAACGTCCGTCCCTCCTCCTCCTTTTTCTTTTTTTATTTAATTTATTAATCTCCCTCTCTTCCTCTCCCTTATACATTTTTCATTTTCTTTTTGTTTTATGTACCTACACAATACACACACAGCCACAGAAAATCTGCTCCCCACCCTTCACACACACACACACACACTAATTTATATATATTACATTTCTCAATCTCTCTCTATTATATTTCTTTTTCTTCCTTCCTAATAATAATAATAATAATAATAATAATTTTTTAAAAATTTTAACTTAGAATTTTATCTTAAATTAGTCCAATAATTATCTCTTAAATAATTGACTTACTTTTAAATATGTTCCAAAATTTCTATTATCTCAAATTAACTATCAAAATTTGAATTGAGATGTTACAAAAATGAGTGAATTTGCAAATAAGTATCTAACTTTTAATTAAGAAATAATTTTTAAATAAAAATTAGTGCCATTAGCTAAAGCTCTAAAAGAGCTTTTTGTAGACATCCAAATCACTTCAATCGGACAACAGGTGGAGAAATGGGTTACGATGGAAGCTCGTTCCTATTGTTGTCAAATTGATAGCAACAAAAATGTTATTTTGTATAATGCATCACGGTGCATGATACAAAAAGGAGAATTTGCGGCATGTATGCGTGTGACATGCCATGGCACACTTTCCTGATTATGTATTGAAATGTTATTTTTCACTAAAAATGCAAATGCTTTGGATACAAAATGGCATCCAATGCTTTCGTACATATTTCTACTCTAAATTTGATTTATAAAAAAAATCATATTTAAGTGGTTTTGAAATTGAACAATTTGGGATCTCATTTCTATCACTCTTAACACCTTGGAAACTAATGATTTTCTAATTAGTTGATAATATGTTCAAGTTAATCCTATGAGTATCTTAGAGATTGAGGCTAAGTAATGGTTAAGTAAGGATAACCTTACATTACATATATGCATGAGAGTGGTTGCATATAATGAAAGAAACATTGCATATCATGGAAGAAATTTGCATATGTAAAAAAGTGTTGCATATATAGGAGAAATTTTGCATATCATGAAAGCTAGTTGCATATAGCTAAAGGTGCTTTGCACTAACAAAAGAACATTACATATCATGGAAGATTTTTGCATACAACAAAAGAAAAGTTGCATTTGGTTGAAGATGTTTTGCACCCAAAGAGAGGTTGCACCTAATGACAAAGTTATGCATTTTAGAGAAGAAATCTTGCACCTATTGAAGAAATATGCACCTAATGGAAGAGTCTTGCATATGGCAAAAAAAAAAGAAATTGATGGAATGCCCTGTAAGAGACTTGTGAACACTGTATTTTGTCCGAGCATTTTTAAATTTAATAATAAATAATCAAAAAAATATAAAAAAATACAACAATGAAATTTAATCCTTTCTTAGGATTATATTTTCAAAAAAAAAACAATCTAACAAAAAATAATAATCTTGCTTAAATTTTTAAAACCTCTCTCAAATTATCTCAATCATTCAAAATATTAGGAGTCAACTTTTGAGAGCTAACTTTTCTCTCTTTAAATCTTAGTTTTAATTAAGTGTGTGTGTGTGTGTGTGTGTGTGTGTGTGTGTGTGTGTGTGTGTGTGTGTGTTAATTAAAAAAAGAAGGAGGCTGGATGAAACGCTGATCCATCAGCATTTCATCACAAGCCTTATGCGGTTCAGGTGCTGCTGATACACTCAGAGAAATAATGCAGAAAAGCAAATGAGCACAGATGCAAGATTAGCCAGAAGCAAAGAGCAAAAAAAGAATGCAGGCAGAGCCAAAGCTTCGGCCATATAGCAGAAAAAGCCAGAAACATGAGCAGAAAATGCCAGAAGCACACACAGTCATAAAACGGAGAAAGGAAAGACAGAGAGCAAAGAACAATGCATGCAGCAGAGGAAAACGCAGACTGTAGAAAAGCTTCACAAAGAGAACACGCGAACATGCAGCAAAAAATGCAGAGCAAGCAACCCCAGCCCCAAAGCTTCGGCCACGCAACAGAAAAGATAGCAGAGAGCAGAAAAAAACTGGACATGCACCCACACTGCACACACAAAACACACACGAAAGAGAGTAAAAGAAGATAACAGAAGAGGAGATGTGCATATTGAAGAAAGCACAGAAATGCACGCTACAGAAAAAGGTAAAAAACAGAGCACAGAAGACGGCCAGAGACGAAGGAGCGGGAAGAAAAGAAAAGAAGAAGAGAAGGATCGAAAAATGAACAAGAAACTGAGCAAAAAAAGAGGAGAGGGAGAGACCGAAAACTGAAGGAAAAACAAAGCATGGGAAGCGAGAATGAACGAGAATGAGGCGGAGGCAGAAAATAAAGAGAAAACACCAGCGAAGAAGAAGTAGAACAAAGAAAATGCAGAAAACCAAATGAAGGACCAAAACTGAAGGAGGTAGAGAACACGAGGCACAGAAGGAAAACTGAAAAATAATAGAGCATAAAGGAGACGAGAAAAGTCGGAGAGGAACTGACAACATGCACACAAGCAAGCTGAACTAGAGAGAGAGCACGAAGAAAGGAAGAGAAACGAGAGAGAGATATCAAAAGCTGGAGGAGAATACAAAGGAAAAACAGAGACTGGAAACTGGAATCGAGAGAGTGGAAAAAAACGCACAAATAGTAGCATGCATGCACACGTGGGTTTCTGGACTGAACAAGATCATCATTTTCTTCTTCCCTCAATGACACGAGTTCTGGATGTTTTACAAGCAAAAAAACAACCAGTAACACGTTCAAAGCTTGAGGTTGAGGCGATGGAAGTGTTGCCTTGAGAGGAAGAAGAATGCAAACACAAGCTATTCAGGTAATATTTAAATCATATCATCTCCCTTAACCTGAATTTATTGATGAACATATATATATATATATATATTGATAGATATTATGAGTGTGGATTGATCCAGATATATGTTTAGGCATTAAAAAATTTTAAGAATTAAATATTTTATGTTGAATTTAAAACATACTCGAGAGGTGTCTGATGAAAAAGAAAAGAGAAAGAGAGAGAGAGAGAGCCTGTGAAAATATTATTGATAATTTGTAAGGTTGATCGTGGTTTGGAGCCTTGTCTTTTATGGTTATGATCTTGCTAAAAGTTTATGCCAAATATAGATTTTTTTTAGAATATATCTCCAAGTCAAAAGAATAGTGAACTGTCAAAATAATTTATTTCTCTATTTTTTCCATTGCCTTTATTGCATGAATCGTTTAGCCAACCATAATATTATGCACCGACTACAAATGCATATATTTCGGTTATCTATTTGTTGTGTAAGATTTTAAGAATTTTCGTAAGCATTTAGAATAATTTCATACCATGTAAATCAATAAAATTTCACAGGTATGAAGATCAATTTTGTAGGTATTTATATGGGTTCCAAAAGCCCATTATTAAAATTAATTTTCTCTTTATAATAAATATTTAAGTCTCATGTGAGATTTCAAGAATCTTTGTAAAGACTTAAATTAATCATAATATCGTGTAGGATAATAAATCCTCGCAAATATTGTGATTCACAATTTATATGGTAAATAAATAAATAAATTTATTTTGTAAATAAAATAATAAACATTTTTATATATAATATTAATTAACCAAATTAAAGTTTTTAAATTGTAACCACATTTGTCAATTATATCTTTTAGTCATGTGAAATTTTTAAATCTTCGTAGGCTTTTAAGATCATCGTATTATCATATGAGTCAATAAAACTGTGTAGATATAGCGATTAAGTTTTTTTTATATATATACATATATATTATAATTAATTAAATTAAATCAATTAATTAAATTTAATTCCTTTATCATGTGAGATTTTAGAATCTCCGCAAATATTTAGGATAATCATATTACCGTACAAGCTAATAAGGCTTTGCAGGTATGATGATTAAAATTCTTTAAAAACATGTACATGCATGCTTAAATAAATTATTACTAGCATTTAAAAATAAATAAATTAAATTGCTAAATTCTTTTATTGTGTGAAATTTTGGAATCTCCGCAGATATTTAAAACAACTGCATTACTATATGAACCAATAAGGCTCTGCAGGTATAGCAGTTAAAATTCTCAATCATAAAACATAAAGGAAAATCATTTTAAACCCTTTTCTTTCTTTATTCTAAAAATTCAAAAATTAAGAAAATGATGGAAATTAAATCACTTTTTACAATTTAAGACACACATATCAAAATTTTAGAAATTGTTTTATTTGCAAAATGGTAAATTATTTTTAATTAATTTCTCTTCAAAAATATTTTCACCAACAAACTTATAAGCCCGAACTACGTGAACTTTGATCCTCATCACAAGGTACGTAGGCCTCAGAGATAGATTTTGAGTCAAGTCCGTCCTCCCTCGTAAATAAATAAATATTTCTCACTTAATTCTTATCATTTTTATCAAACACATGAATACAAAATCACTTAATTCTTATCATTTTTATCACATGAATACAAAAGGGAGAATTAAAATAATTATAAAATCATATTAAAAGAGCACAACAAACTTCAGGTAACCGTTCTGACGAACAGGTGTTGTGGGGTGCCTAATACCTTCCCCACACTCAACCGACTCCCGAATCCATTCTCTGATTTCGCAAACCACCCTTATCCTCCATTAATCGGTTTCTCGAGATTTTTCTCAAAATCTTGGTGGCGACTCCTCATTCGATTCGGTTCCTGCCGCGAAGGTCGGGACCTCCGCTCGCGCGCCGTCTGCGTTGCATTTTTTCAGGTGCGACAAAGCTTATAGGGAACAAACACATAGAAGGAGACAAGTCAAAAGAAAAAACCATAGTAGTAGATGAACTTGTGAATAGGGAAAGTAAATGTAGAACCTAGAAATAGAAGGAATAGGTAAAATGGGGAGGATAGAAACATAGTAGCGAGCCCCAAAAAAAAAAGAAAGAAATTTCAAGGCAACGCATACAAATTTTGATACGAACAACAAGTAATGAGTGTAAATGAAATCAACAAACTAAAACCTAAATGGCAAAATCAAAGAAATCAAAATCAAAGCAACTAACCTAATCAATTGAATAATGCATTGGAAAAGGAAAATCCATGAGGAAATAGAAAGTGAGCAAACAAACCTTTTCAATTGAAAAAGCAAATTGGAACTACAAAGAGCTCCGTAGACAAAATCGGTGGGATTCGTTCCTTTTGTTTTGTGGTGGCAATGTGATTTTCATTGACGAAGAACTTAAAAGTTTTGGTCTTAAAAGCAAGGGAGTGTCAACTCACAAGATTGAGGAAGGAAGAGTAATGATCAGTGATGTGAGGAAAAGGGCAAGCGAGCCATGATCAATGTTGTGAGGGAAGAAGGGTATTTTGGTCTTTTGCTTATCTCATTTTATGCCAACAAAGGATAGCACATTAAAAAAGCTTACAGATTCCTCTCCACAATTAAATCGGTAGTGATCTTTTTTTTTTTTAAAAAAAAGCAATTTTTCTTTGAAATTTTATCCAGAGTCGAAATAACACATTAAACGGGCATGAAATGAACATCCGGCTAACTTTCCATATGGCAAGTAAATATCAAACTTACCAAGCTGCTGGGCACGCGAAGACGTACACCTACCATTCGATTACCGTATAAATATTTTAAAAAGTGTAATTACGCAGAAGACCCTTGTATTTTATTTTTTACATTTACCATATGCACATTTATTTTTCTTTCAAGAATTTCTTTAAATTTTTGAGGTGCCTGAGACAAAAAGCACGCTGCTTTGATCGTGCCAGATGCTTGATGACATTCTTGCTCATGGCCGTAGTACAATTCACGAAACAGTATATCAAGAATATTATTGTCAAATTTTTGAATTTGCACTTTAATTTTTATTATTTTATATTTTTAATTAATAAAAGTATAAGTTCAAATTAAATACAAACTCGATTAGATTCACAAGTTTTACTTTCAAGTTTACCATTTTTATTTTTTATTTTTTTGCCAAAATACTGTTTTTACATTTCAAATTTATAAAATAAATTAATTCACTCATAAATTTTGATTAAATGAAAGCTTAGTTAAACTTAACTAATTGAGCAAGTTTAGTACATATTATGTGGAACTCAATTTAAAAAAGTAGTATAACCTAGTTCAAAGAAAAATTAAACTTAAAAAGCAAAAACTAGTATAAAAAACAAGAAATACCAAAAAAATAAAAGTTGCCCTAAATTTAAAATTTTTATATTGAGTATGTTAATCTATCAACATAATGTATATGAATTTAATTGCAATGACTTATATTTTAAATGTATTTAAATCAAATTATGATCATATTCTATGTTTTAATTATCTAATCATAATCTTTTAATGATTATTTATTAATAAAGATAAATTCTGATAAGTTTATAATCCAAATTTATTTCTCATCATAAATTTACTTAAACTCAAGTTTGACAAATCTCAATCAAAATGTTTCATTTTGTAAAAATGCTAATAAATTGAATGTATTCAAATAATTTTATTTTAACTATTTTATACAATACAATACTACAATGACTCACATTCTTACAAATACGGCGAGTATAAACAAATAAAGTAATTGAAGAATATTGCCAACGATCCATCTTGAGCAGTGGTGTCAAAATTATGAGATTCGTGTATATGGTTTTAGTGCATTTTGATTACTTGAATTATGATTATACTAGAATGCTGATTCGTCTGTGGCATGAGTTTAACCTATCCTAGAGCTAACAGTATACGATATTGTAATCAGCATGATATTTAGTGACTGTGATTTAACTATTAATCAGAGTGATTGCCTAATTGCCTAACTAATTCGCAACCACGAGATTTATATTAATAAATTAATAACAATATATTATTAACTAGATGTTGTGGGGTTTACCTTAGCTGTCCACGGCAGGGGGACGATATTGGTCAAATCAGCATGATAGATAGATTATTTCAGGGATTGTTTACATGGAAATCACCAAAAATAAAAATATCGTGGTCAAGTCTGAAGCCACAGTAAAAAAAAAGGCAATGATAATTAAACACCTCATTAAAAAGCTAATGTCAAAATAAAAAATTTTAATACTAAAATATAGCAGAAAGCGTATTAAATTTAAAAATTTTAGTTTTGAAAAAAATCCCGAGCTGACTTTAATTCTCTATGGGGTTCTCTTTGAGTGTGTTTTGATTTCTATTAGATATAATTAATTATAAAAAAGTTAAGTAATATAATTAATTAGTGATGCACAGGAGAGTACAAACATTGACAAACTCAAATTATAATTCAAATATAAATTATAATAAAAACTATTGATCAAAAATTACTTTTCATTATGAAAATAAAGGCTTCCCTTCAGTTCTTACTTTCATGCAAAGGATAATGGATTATCTTATTTACCATCCCTCATTTCTTTGATAATGTTGGCAATAAACATGAATAAAGATATAGAAGGATTCGCTAGAAAATAAGGAAAAAAAAAACATCTTGTAATGAACTCAATCAATTTAAGAAATTAGTTGTTATTGCTGAGTATGTCTTAATCAAAAAAATATTGTGACCACACCAATGATTTGTGTCTACCATTCTATGCAATAAAAAAAAAATGGTGCATTCTGCATGAAGTCCAACAAATTGCTTGTAGGTTCTTCTTTTCGGCAGACTTAAATTTTGATTTAAAAAAAAGTGAGCAACATACCTCCTTCAATGCATTTAATGAACTTTGAATTATACAAAGAGGCAAAGCTACCTAAAAATTTACCATTTTGTATTAAGAATGCCATATTATTTTAATGAACATGACAGAAGCAATTGAGAAACTTAGATGCTCATTATATGATTAAATGAATAATAAGAGGTGTTGGAAATTTGAAAATGAAAAATAGTGAACAAAATACAATATTAAAGGGAACAAATAACAAAATGATCACTCTTTTTTAAAATATATTACACAGACTACAAATATATTGGTAGTTCACAATAGTCAATAACCATATACTTTCAAGTTTTAAAAGCACATATTCTAACTCCCATGCAAAATTAGCATTCTAATTAAAACACGAGGTCAATACTATTAATATTTAGTAAATTGATTAGCACCCATACTATTATAATGAATAAATACTACTTAGGCTATTAGAACATGTGCGTCTATCTGCCTGTTTGGATAGGAAAATTAATCCATTTTGGAGGCAAAATCACCGTTGAAATGAAAATTACCCAAGCACTAAAACTTTGTGTTAATCGATTATTCAAATAAGCTATGGGTTATTAATTTTTCAAAATGAAATAAATTTCGGCTTATTCCAAATGGAGTTTTGAAAACCAAATGGAGTTTGAGAAAATTGGAGTGTTTGGATAAAAATTTCAAAACCATGGTTTTGAACCTAGAATTGATTCTAAAAGAGTATCCAAACAGGTCCTTAAGAATTCAATTATACGATTAGAATATTAATCATTTATTAGTCTTTCACCTGCCTGATTCTAATTTTATGCTTCATGAAAGGAAAGATCAAATAGAGCATGAGAAAAGCCATCACATTGATGGATATTCATCCCTACTATCATCCATAAAATGTTAATATTAATATAATTTAAATTTTTATAATTAATCAGATATATAATTTAAATAATATATTTTCTTCTTAAATAAAATTTAATAATATTAAATACAAATGTATCAATAATTTAATTTTAAAAAGTAATTTTTTTTAATAATTTGTATAGCTAAAATTGATTCTGATTAAATTATCCAAATATTTTTAATTATGTTAAAATTAATTTTAAAAAAATAATATCCAAACATATTATATTATAATATAATCAATTATAATTAAAATTAATTATATTAATTAATTATTTTCATAGGCCATTATACCAGACTAAAATCTACTTGGCATAGCTAAACCATCTCCATCTTGGGCACAGCTAGCTACGGGCACGATGCATAATTCCAATAGCCTCTGAAGCATCTATCAGCAACAACCAGATAAAGGGAATAAACAAAAAATATGTAAAATAAATATGGTTATAGAATGGATTTTTAATGTAGATAACATATTTATTTTCCGATCACAATTTTCATCCGGTAGGCTAATAACATTGGTTGTTTTATCTACTATAGTACCCGGACACCTTGAGCCAAGAGCTAAGCTAACAAAAGGAGAGAGGGGCAGATAAAGGCGGTACCATTTCAAACAAATTCTTCCAAACAGTGTCTACATTTCACACAATCATGAACAATTACCTAAAAACCAATGAAAAGCATTTACGACATATACATATATATATATAATATGAGGACTGGGGTCAAACTGAAAAGAAACATAAAAGATCTGTTTCTTCATGAAAGTTGGTATTGCAACATTATTGCAACAAAAACCAACTTAAATACATGGACAAAATACATTCAACCCTGAGCCTAAACAAAAAGACAGAGAGAAGACCATCTCATGAGAACAGTCAAATTTGAAAAGTAGCACGTAACGTGAAGGATGAGTATTAACTTTTCCTGGGTATAATTTAGATAGTTATTCTAAGCTAGCATATCACCTTAAGGTAAAAAAAATAAAAATAATCTATAGGTAATAGGATTTAAATTAAGATTAGATTGTAAATAATAATCTAAATCATCTGGCACAATCATCTATACAAACATTATAGGAAGTATTTTCATTAAATAAGAAATGAACAATAGAAACAATGAAGAAGTGAGCTGTTATAAGAAGTACCAAAAAATTGGCTCTAAACACGTTTACTGATGCAAAAACCACTTACTATACTAATATATCATAATAATGGTTGTGGTCTGCTTAATATTTTCAAGAAATATTTGAATGAGCATATTTAAAGAAGAATTGACACGCTTTCTTCTTGCCAAAACCCATCCAACTACAACCCAGTACAAACAAAAAGATAGTGTTGCAATAAGGCAGTAGATAGCTTTGTTTTGGTTTTCAAGATTTTCAAAGTTGAAAAAAAGAGTGGGGGAATAATAAATAAAGTTAACAACATATAGAAATGTAGTTCTTTTATGTTAACTGATACAAGTTCTCCAGATATTCAAGTTGGTTTTTCTTTATTGTCATATTAAATAAAACTATGGGTTATTTTCTCACTTGTGTTGTCAGAGAAGAAATTACAAATTTAGGGGTTTGTAGAGAAGAAAGGAAAAGCAGATGATATAATAAAAAAGGCATATGAAAAGGAGCAGTACCAAAGGGAAGAGAAAGAGCCCAGGATCAAGAAATGTTGGGAGAAAAGCGGTGAGGTTTTGAATTGGAAGATCTGCAGAATGCAGGGATAGGAGGGTGAGCAATGAAGGAGCAAGAGTCAGCTACTGAAATCATGATCAGCCAAAGACACGCTGCATAGCAGTCGTTTCCTCAGTAGTAACATCAAATACAGGATCCATGGACCAAATAGAATGGGAATACAATCGGAGTTAGAAGTTATAGCAGAATCAAAGCAACACAACATTATAGGATTCATTTCCCTTGCTGGAATACACCTATGGTTGCTCCCTCTGCATTAACATCAAATTCTAGAAAAGCATGAAAGGAAAGCCATTTAAATCAAAAGGAGCCCTTCAACAATCTAAAAAAGTACAAAAATAAATTATTAAATA